CGTGTGTGTAATGTATCTAGATGTTTCCATGTAATGTATATGTAATGTATCTATGATATCTGTGTTTGTATCTTATAATTCAGCATGTCTCCACATATGATTGTCTTATGCATTATTATCTAACTGTTTTCTATGCCTTACTTACTCCTGCACATATATAACCTTGTACCATAGAATACTTTAATATGTGGCTGTGTAGCGCAATAAGTGAAGCTTAAAGCACAACGTCTGAGTCTGTGATATCCATGCAATGTCTGTCCAATGTAAACATAGTATCCAAGTCATTAATGTTTACGTAACAAAAGTTTAATGTATTTAGGATATTGGGTGTTAATAATTGTTAAGTAACTTTTTCCATGTTTTTTACCCCTGCATGTAAATAACTATGTACCATAGAATATTTTAACGCGCCCCTGTGTGGAGTAGTAAGTGAAATTTTAATGCAACTAGTGCCTCAGTCCTTGATATTTAGGTAATGTTTGATTAATGTAGGTATAATAGTATGTTAGTTATTGATTTTTATGTAACATATGTTTAATGTATCTATGATATCTGTGTTGGTATGTTATATTTCAGCATATCTCCACATATAATTGTTTTATGCATTATCATCTTACTGTTTCCATATCCTACCCCTGCATGATATAACCTTGTACAGTAGAACATTTTATCTTACGCCAGTCAGGCGCAATAAGTGAAATCTAATGCACCTAGGCGTCCGAGTCCTTGATATTTATATTGACACTGGTGGACGTGGCGCTACACCAATTAACCATATGGTAAAGGGGTGGTGCCCACGTCCTCCGTCGCATGTCGCATATTCTTAGAGTAGTTAGTATTATCTAAGCCGAGTGTCGGTTTATTGTACACCCTACGGATTCGTATTTTTGATAATAAGGTCTTTAACTTTCCAAGTTATTATGTCTCACGAACTCAAGCGATTATTCGCTTACTTGTTCTTAATATTCTTCACATTCAACTGTAAGTTAGAATTACACAGTGGGGATTTAGAATTACATTGTAAGTTAGAATTACACAGTTTCTCGAAATTGACAAAGCATGCTGCTACTCCAGATTTATTATTAAATGCTTTTGTGGTGTATTCGATAAGATTGGGAATTTGGTGAGTGGTGCAGTGATTTTACTGGAATCCAAATTGAGATTTAGTCCAGTTTTTTAAGGTGTTCTGTGAGTCTGTAATTTAATGTTCTTTCAAAGATCTTTCCTAATGAGGGCAATAAAATGATGGGTCTGTAACTTGTAGTTAAAGTAGGATTTTTTACTGGCTTCAGAACAGCCACTACTATCGAGTGCTTCTACTGTTGCGAGTAGTAGCAGAGTTTAATGCGGGCGTTAAAAATATTGGTTAAAAGCACAATGCGTCTAATAAGAAGGGCTTTCAGGGCTTGATTATTATCACGTCATAGTCGTATGCTTTCTTAGTTTTGCGACTTTTAATAATTTTCTGAATTTCTCCTGGGGATGTACTAGAGATGCAATTCGTATTTGTTCTTGTACATGAAACCTAATTTTCAATTTCTTCATCGTGCTCTGGTTGGTTGGAAAGTTTAACCTGAAATTTCCTTCTAATTGATTTGTCATGATATTTAGTATACGTCGTTCGGATTGGTGTATGTTGCATCCGCGGGATTAACCGGAGACATATGATTGGTCCGTTCTTTCTAAACTGCGTTTGCTATTTTCTAAACAGTTCCAGGCCCGCTTCCCTATCAAGAAGGGATTTCTATATTGTAGAACATTAGTTTGTGATTTCTAACGTAATTTTCCGTGTGAGATAATTTACTTGTCTTTTTATCGCAGGACCTCCGACGATTTTCCATCCTTTTTTTTTTAAAGCGATTTCTCTCTTTAATTGTTCTTTAATACTGTTAGGAAGTCTAAGAGGGGGGGACGTTTACATTAACATAAGTCAAGTTTTTCATGGCGTCCTTGGGATTCTAGCAGTGAGTTCGATATATCTCATTTTTTCACCACAATGCTGCAGAATTGGATCGCAGGGAATATTTTTGAACTCTTCTGAAAATTTTTCCCAATTAATTTTGTTTCGGATTTTTGGAGGAGAAATCAAAATTTATCGGGAAGGGATCTGAAAAAAATTGTATCCTTTACTTCAAGGTAGGGAGTCTGCTTTAAATTTTTGACAAACGCAATGTCACTATATCCAAGGTAATAATGAGTAGGGTTTTCTGGAGCAACTAACTTAAGGCATTATTTTGTATGTATTCACAATACTCTCATTTGTGTTGGCCATCTACATTCCAAGACTGATTTTTTGCCTTTAAAATACCGGGGGTTAGCGTCGGGAAAGTTGTACAGCTCAGGATACCAAAATCTTGTGTGTTTATGCTACCGGGATTTTCATACGCGCTGATCAATTTGCGCAAGAAAAAAGTGGGTGTTGCCATTCGAATTTTTTTCACTGTAACCGTAACCACGAAACTTCTATTATTTTGATGATATTTTACCCTGCGGGCAGAAAGTCTTAGCAATTGCAAAACAAGATATCTGTCTCCTTTGTCAATCTCAAGCGCGTATCTTCAAATAGCAACATCTGAAATTTCACTTCAATTTGTTGCGCGAATCAGGCGCTAAGGGTTCATATATCGATAATTTATTTGCGACCGTCCTATACTAACTCTCTTCTTCAATACACTTTCGAGGTTAGGTTCAAAATACACGCAGAGTCAACGCTTTTCAATATAAACCTTTGCGCTGGTCCTTCGTCGACCAACCTCTGGAAAAAAAAAAAAAAAAGAGAGACAATATATGAAGACAACAAACGTATAATGTTATGACTGCAAATACCAACTGCTAGGAAGGCGAACCGAGAGAAAGCACGAATATTGCCACATTAAAAAAATATTTATTTTTCTTTGCAGAGCGATTATTATTATATGGCACCTCTTAATACCACGATAAAACAACTAGCACTTTGACAAATATTACATACTCTCAGAAAAACAAACTAAGGATTTTTTTAAAGAGATAAACATGTACAATATGCAAGAAAATCGATAGTTTGGATTATCCGTGAGTAATCGAGAGTACTCTGTATTGTCATTTTATAATAAGATAGGGGAAAATAAAAACATTTTATTTTAACGTAATATTCTAATATATTACCATTATTTTAATGAAATTTCTTAATGCTATAGTTTACAAAAGTCATTAAAAAATTCTTAGATCTCTGAGTTACAAAATTTTCTATAGAAATTGATTTTAAATTTCCCAAAATGTTGATAAGTCAACCAAATTTAGAACCATTTAATACTAGAATTCACATCCCCAAAAGTGAAAAGTTGTTTAAGAATTCTCCATCAGAAAAACTGAAATAATTTCGAAATGCTTATGTTTCACTTCTTGCCCCAAAACTCAAGTATCGCACCGTTTATATTAGAAATAAGAACAAATTATAACCCATGAATGTACTCGCCCATTCAAAAGATAACCATATTTGTGAGCCATTCGCCAAAAATATTCCTCCAAAATGCTTATTCACACTCAAAATGGTAGTTGTAGAAACAAATTTCATAGGATTAAGGACTTTCTGCCAATTTAGACCAAAATTACAGACCTTTAAGGACCAAAAATTCATTCCAAAAAACCTAAGGACTCTTAAGGACCATACAAACCCTGTTTACACAAAATTTATGCCCCAAAGCAATAACAAAATAATTAGAACATGCACTTGGGTTTGTAAAAATGTAGAACTTTTTTGATAACTCAATACATGCTCAAAAAGAGGTTTTCATACTAAAAATTAAATTATTGTCAATATATTGAAATATTTGTATCTGATAAATTAGACCTAATAATTTTTAAAAATTTTCCCAAGTTTAATAATCTGTTACCAGTTAACTGCAAAATTTAATTGATAAAGAAACATAGCAATGTAAAATTTAAACTTAGACAACAAAAGCAACCTTAGACTGTCATTATATTTTGTATAAAACACCATTACTTTTAACCCTCTGGCTGCTCATCTCGCGATTTCCACGGGCAACTCAAATGTAGCAACTCATTCCGCGATTTCCGCGGGCATGTGTTTTTCTTCCTTTATTGAAGAGCACATCCCCTTTTTCCCCCATTTAATGCCTGAAATAAATTATATACAGTATTAGACGTTTAGTTTACGTTTTGGCCAATAGATATTGTTAGTTATCCACCAAATTGCGGCATTTGAATGCACATGGTATTACTGCTCAAATTCCACTTTTTGCGCTTTTTTTCTTACAAAAAATGGCTGCTAGAAAAACATTCAGCGATTATCTTGATTATTTAATTAAATTATTGAATTATTAATTAGATTTATTGGTTAGATTAATAATTAGATTTATTGAATCTGGTGCAAAGACTGTGAAGTTGGACTTTTCCTTGAACCCTGTTTGAACTCTATCGTACTAAACTGCATTTCTAAGGTATTTTTTTCCTCAGTGCTTTATATTTTCTTAAATGTTATATATTTTACTTTTTTTATATTATGCAATAAATAGAAATTAACTGTAATTCAACTGAAATTTATTTAAAAACAATTTTTTTTTTGGTTATAACATCTGAAATTGGTTTTTCTGGCAACTTAGTTTCTCATGATAAAAATCTATATAAAAAACATTTTCTAGAAAGGAAAAAATGCATTTTTCAATTCTCCAATATATATAGATTTAAAATATAGGAGAAAAAAAAAAAAAAAAAAAAAAAAAAAAAAAACGATGTTTTAAGAGATTTCGTTTGACAAATTGAGCAGTTGTCAGCGGGTTAAGGGCTATCTGACATTAGTCCTTCATCTACAGAAGTGAATTTTTTTTCCTTTCAGAAAGAAAGACCTATGCCAAATCACCTTCAAAATCATGAGAATTTTACTTAAAAAATCTAAACACTTTTTTTTTTGGGGGGGGGCTAATTTTAAGTCTGTTGCCAAGGGAATATATGTACAGCTCTTATTTATGCGAATGGTGAAAATACAATTAGGCAGACATAATGTAATTTGGACATTCTTAATTTCTGGATATATTATTTTCATGTATGCATATGCAAGAATACACACAGGAAATAACTATACCTTTGATTTTCTTATCAAATGCTTTTTTCTTTCTTTTCAGTTGTGCTTCTTCTCTCTGTTCTTTCATTTCCTCTATTGTCTCTTCCGTGCCAAAAATCTCTAATGCTCGATTTTCAACCTGTAAAATTCATTTTTTTAGAACACAGTTTAATGTTCTTGAATTTTGTAAGATGTACTCCAGATACTTAGATTAAATATGTTTTTACATCAATACATAAAAAATATAAAATTCATAGATGTTTCTTTTAGTGCATAGAAATGTTTCCCAAACTTTTTAGGTTTGCAATCCATATACAGTAAACTCTCGCTACAACGATACCCGATATAACAATAACTCCCTCTACTACAATAATGTTTTGTGGTCCCGGTGATTTTGCATATAAACTAATGTTAATCTCCCCTCAATATTGCTATATTCTCTAGAACAATAAACCTCTGTAAAACGATTTTTTCAATCTAAATTTCACTATTATTTTCTCCCTTTATAATAATATTTTGATTTTCAAATGCTTTTTTTTTTTTTTTTTTTTCGTTTTCTTTTGTTATTTTTTCCATCTATTAAGACTCATTGTGGATATTCAACTTATCCCTGAATAAATAGCTATTTTTCAGATTTCAAAACAGATGAAGACCACCCTTTTGGGAATTGGAGTGGGTGAGGGGGGTGAAGTGTAAATGTATGCCTAGTCTCATTTCCCAGTAAGCTTTGGAATTCTGATAAGGTTTAAGGACATCTAGACCTGTCTGGTCACCTTGTCACAGAACAAGTGCCCTTTGTTAGAGGAACAGGGGGAGATGGAGGCGGGGTGCTGTTAAGTGACGTACTGAAAAGTGAGTTCAAAGGTTGTTTTATAGTTTTTAACGACTTTGAGTTCTACGCGAAACATTTGGTTTAAACTTTTCTTTCTTTCACGCGATATTGTTCCCTAAGATGGCAGGGCGAAAGCAACTATCTTTTCGAGATAAACTGAACGTTATCTATGATATTGATGAGGGAATGAAGCAGATTGATGCGGCTAAGAAACATGGATTATCACAATCTACAGTTGCAACGTTCCTAAAGAAGAGAAAGCAAATCGAAGATGCTGTAACTTCAAATGAAATTAACCCAGAGCGAAAACGACTGAAAGTTGCGACAAATGAAAACATTGATGCTGCTGTTTTAAAATGGTTTAAAGAGATGAGAGCAACAAATGTCCCAATAAATGGACCTTTATTATGTGCAAAAGCACGGAAATTTGCAGCAATGCTAGGGAACAAAACTTTCAAAGCTAGCAATGGTTGGTTAATGCGTTTTCGAGATCATCATGGAATAACTTTCCAAGAAGTTCACGGAGAGAAAAAGTCAGCCCCGATAAACGACACAAATGAATGGCGGCAAAACAAGATGAAAGAAATCTTAGAAAAGTATGCTCCAGAAGACATTTATAATGCAGATGAAGCTGGGCTGTTTTTCCAACTCCTACCCGATCGAACATTGTCATTCAAGGGTGAAAAGTGTTATGGAGGGAAGAAATCAAAGCAGAGACTGACTGTTCTTCTGTGTACAAATAGCACAGGAACGCATAGAATACAACCTCTCGTCATTGGTAAATCATTGAAGCCAAGGTGCTTTAAGAACGTGAAAAGTCTTCCTGTGGAGTATAAAGCAAATAAGAAGGCTTGGATGACGTCTAAATTTTTTCCGAATGGTCACAGAAGTTAGACAATGAAATGAAGAAGAGAAAGAAAAAAATCGTTTTGTTGATAGATAACTGCGGTGCTCACACGTCATTTCCAAAGCTACAAAATATCGAAATCGCTTTTTCCCCTGCCAATTGCACTTCAATTTTACAGCCTCTTTATATGGGCATAATTAAGTGCTTCAAAGGATATTACAGAAAACAGTTGGTGGACTCCATACTTGTAAACTTTGAAAATAAAGTGGAAGACCCTTTCAAAGCTGTAAATGTCAAGTAAGCGTGTCACAATATTGCTGGAAGTTGCTGGGAAGTAACAGAAAAAACCATTCGGAATTGCTGGTAAAAGGCCGGTCTTTGTGTTATGGAAGATAAGAAATCTGATAATGATGAAAATTCCATAGACAATGATATCTCAGATGATCAAGAATGTGTTTTGCACATCAAAAAATCCGTATCCCAACTTGAGGAAACAAGCGGTAAAAAGTTTGGAATTAGTATAGAAGACTATTTAACAGCAGATGATGATCTTATGGTTTTCACAGGAGTTACTGGTGAAGATATTCTCTCTGAAATTACTGATGAGATAGGAAACAATGATGAAGATAATGATTATGATAATACAGGTCCATCGCAGTCCTTATTGTCATCCCAGGAAGCTCTTCAATCTGTGAATTCTCTACGGACATTTTTTTCAAGCCTTCCGTCGACAAATGAAGAACATTTTCATGCACTAGACTCAATGCATACAGTATTGGTGAACTTAACAGTTAAAAAAATCAATAAACAAACAAAAATATTGGATTATTTTCAATAAAAAGTGTTTTCAGGTATGTGAATATTTCTGTGCTTATTTTCTGAATTGATCTTATTTATTTATTTTTTTAGTATTTAAACCACTATTATTAGTATTTTACAAATTAATTTCTTCTAAATATAGACTTAAAAGTAGTATGTTATGTACCTTAAACTAATAATAATAATAATAAAACTCTTATTAAATGCTCAAAATATGTGGGCCCTCAATATAACAATATGCCATCTACAACAATATATTTATTTGGTCCCTAAAATATTGTTGTAATGAGGTTTCACTGTATATATAGTTGTAATTGATCATGACCCAGATACATGTATTAGTTCTGAATAAAACAGTGAATAAAGAAGATTCTTAGAAAGAAATAAGATAAACTAATAATAAACAAACAATAATTCATTGGTAACCATACAATAAGAAAATGAGTACTTCAAGTGTTCCGTGACCCACAGTCTAAGAACTATTGGTACTTAATATGCTGTTTATAAAGCTGAACAGTTTAATGATCATTAAATGAAAGAAAATAATAGAAAAATATCAGAACAATTAAATTTAATAAAGTAACAAAGGGAAAGTCTGAAGTTGAATAATTTATTATGCAATCATAGAAGTTTTTTGTAATAATGTAAAAAGAACAACATATTAATAGTGTTAAAGGTTTAATATAGATTAAAGAAATATATACCTGTAATCTCAGATACAGTTTCATACTTCCATGCATATTATGTGGATTTTTTCTGAGCACAAACTTTAAAGGAGGTTCTCGTTTATCAAAATCACAGTCTTTCAAAAGATATTCTTTCTTTGCATCTGTTCGGCTGATAAGAGCATGAGCACCATCATTATCTCTGAAAAAACAATAGAAATCTTACATGTTACAATTACTGAGAGCCTAGGTTATAACAGAAAATTATTAAAAAAAATATTTTAAGAATGGTGTAAGGACCAATAGTACAAAGAGTTCCTCATAAGTTACATCTTGGCATATGTTAATACACCATATAACTCTTGGCAAAATTTGATAGTTGTTAATTCCTTACACCAACAGGAAATGAACCACAAGGTTGCTGTAAACATAATCTAGATTTCCTCAAACCAATTTTTTAGTCTCACCATCTGTACTTACATAATATACAAGTACATTTCTTTAATAACGCACAAATTTATTGCATGGAAATTATAATATTCTCAGATTTTTGAAAAGCTGAACAGATTTTGTTATTTGATAAATTCTAGAGACCAATTACAAAAATAAAAAACATGAAACTTGCCAAAGTAATTTTATCATTACAAAACAGGCAGCACAAGTTACAAGTGTAATAGTATATTTCATTTAATTAGACAGCCATCAAATGAGAAAAGAGTAGAATAAAATGGCCACAGATTCAGATGCATCCTTATTTTCAGTATTTTGCTATATTAAATAATAAATATAACAACTACTGATTCATAAAATACTTCTTAATTTAAAAAGTGGTAACCTTAGTTTGTGTAGACTTTTAATAAAACTCTATTGATTTCGAGGGCAATCAGACACAGATCCCTCTTCTTCAAGAGCAAAAAAGAATAAATCCATAACTTTGTTCCAAATCTGCAACACCCTAAAATAGGGTGGTGTATATCATGTTATTCATCATTATTGTATACACTTTCTCTATATGCTTCTCAATAATTTTTATCTTTGAAGAACTTATTAAATAATATTCCAATCTCCGAAAGCTTACATGTGAAAATTTTTTCATTGATTCATTTACTTTTATCTCCTTTGGTAGTTCAAACTTCATTAGTCATGTTTTTCATGCAAAAAATTACATGCATATTAATTTCTTCCAAAATTCTCCAATAATTTTCAACATTATTTTTATGGAATATATTTATGTAAGCAAGGGTGAAAAAAAAAAAAAAAAAAAAAAAAAAAGTTTATAATCATAATTCTTCAAATGGAAATTTTTATAAAGTTTAAAAGCAGAAAAAGTATCTAAATTACATTTAAATGTACAAACCTGCAACCATCACACACTTGAAAATCAAAATGTGTTTGAAGATAACTATCATTAAATTCCTCTTTGCATTCAATACATATAGGTCTGTCCCCAGAAAACAGTGGAGCAGGAGTACTCACAATAGGTCTCTCTTCAGCAGCCAATAAATCCGTATCATCCTCTTCAGCAAAAAAACCAGCCCCAGTATCTCGAGGTCGGGATATAGCATTCACTTCCTTTTGACAAACTGTCCTATACAATCATGTATTTAAATGTTATTATAAACACTATAACATAAAAATGATATAATGTATAAAAAAAAATACTATTAACATAAAAATGATGAGTTATTTATGGACGTCAGAAAATGCTACATTTTAAATTTAAAAGAACATACTAATTTGCCCTAACATGTAAGAAATCTCCGCTGAATTACAAAAATGACAAAATATTTACTATCCAGAAATTTCAGATAACAATTTTGTTCCCTACAGACATTACTAACAGTGATTTTCAAACATTTTCAATTTAACTAATGATATTCCCCCCCCCCCCAAATGAAAATGCTCACATCAGAGGCAACTGTTTCAGTATATAAAAGCAGGATTTTAGTAAAACAATTATATGGAATATTAAAGGAATATTTTATGGAAAAAATATATTATTTCCAGTTTTTTTTCTAGTGAAAATTTTTTTTTGTGAAAATTAAATTAATTTTTAATCTTGCTTCTTGAATTGGAAGGTTTCACAAAGGAACATATACCGGGTCAGTCCATAAGTTCATGCGCATTAAGAGTATGCATGGAATTCATTATGGTGCATTTACTAAAATAATACAATTTTGAACCTTTTGAAACTTGTCATCGTTTGATTAACATATTATTCAGTTCATCTACAACTTTCGTAAATATTGAACGCATTTTAGTACCCATAAAAGATGAATATAGATAATCAGTACAAACGTGCCGAGCTATATTTTTTATTTTCACGTGGTGAATCTGCCAGGTTTGCAGCGATAAAAATTAATAGTGTACATGTGTGTACTTACATTAAAAATTAATAGTGTACTTACACTATTAGTTTAAGGACTGTCCAGAAATGGTTTAAAAATTTTTAAGTTGGAAAAAGCAGCAATAATGATGAACACCATTCAGGACATTTTGAAATTTTAGAACCAAATCAAATGATTAATTCAGAAATTTATAGTGGGAACAACTTTGCTGTCTAAACTCAGAATTGATCAAAAACTGCTCACGATTGGTGAATATCAAGAAAGCGCTGTTTCATAATGATAACGCTAGACTGAATACGGTTCGAACAACGCTGCAAAAAAATTAGTGAATTTAATTAGGAGCTTTTGCCACATCCTGCTTACTCCCCAGATATTGCCCCAAGTGATTTTTACTTATTTCGTGCCTCACAAAATTTTTTACTAGGAAAAAAGTTAAATTCTAAACAGGATGTACACAATGAACTTTCAAGTTTTTTTTTGCATTAAAATCAGAGTCTTTCTATAGTAATGGCATAAAAAAGCTGCCTGTAAGATTGCGAGACATTGTAGATAATGGAGGAAAATATATAATTAATTAAAATGTTAAATTGTGTTTTTTACATTATTTAAAAATTTACCAAAAAATGCACACAAATTTATGGACTGACCCAATAGTTTCAACACAATTTTTTTCAAATTTTTAATCGCTATTAGAGATCTTCCATTCATTGCTTTCTTCACTTGAGTTATTTATGGATTTTTGAATGACCTACATTACTTATAGAGCTAACTAGCAGCAGTTTAAGGCATTAATTGAGCTGGAATCTGTATCTTTTATTTGTCATATTTCTAAGGCATCGAAACTCATTAAGAAGTCATGATATTTAGTTTTTGATTAGTCTGTTATAATAACTGGTGATTTTGATTTTAGAGTAAGCTATTATTTTCTACTGTGAACAAAAATTAAGGTAGTAGATGTTTAAAATACAGTACAAAGTCCGAAATTTAGACATCTAATATACGGACATTCTGATCATGAGCAATTAAAAAAAAAAAAAAAAATCAAAAGCAGATTTTGCAAGAATTATTTTTGTTTGTAAGGTTTAATTACAAAAAACATACCTGAGCACACAGTGACATTCAGCCTCCACAGTCATGGACTTACAGGTGAACCTCATTCCCCCCCCCCCCCAACATCAGAAGCAATAAGATAAAAGTACCCAATTTTTCAATTCAGCAATTTTATGTGTTTTCAGGAAGACTTTTCATGTTTTTCTCATTTTTAATATTTCATAGGAAAATGGTTGCCCGAGCCTCAAAGAGGTTGGATTTTCCATCCTAATTTTAAGGGATAGTACCCTGGGGGATGGTGGCCTCAGGGTCTCCTACCCCTCTTCCTTAAGGGCAGTTTACACTTCTCCAAGTGAGACTCGAGAAAGCCCCTTGTCCGAGCATCTTGAATCGAGTAAACAGACCTGTACTCTGATAGATTGTTTACACCAATCAGAGAGGACTGTGACAACTTGCCTCCGTTTGTTTGCAAAATGGGTACCAACGTGCAGGTTGCTGTGCTTGAAGTTTTAGATGCAGTTTCCAATGAATTAAATTCTGTTCTAGGGTAAAAAAAAAAAAAAATAAAATAAAATAAAAATAAAATAAAATAAAATAAAAAATAAACAAATAAAATAAAATAAAAAAATTACAGGAAGAAAAGGAAATGAAAACGTGGCTGGGTAGCTTGCCGTGATGAATTGGGAGCATTAAATCAACTTTTAAATGAACTTCAGAGTGAGGATATCCAAAGTTAGAAAAACTTCATTAGAATGGGTGAAGAGTAATTTGAAACTTTATTGGAAATAGTCACTCCACTTATTCCTCCCCCTCCCCCGAAAAAAAAAACGTTCTTTCGAGATGCTCTACCAGCAAAATTAAAATGCAGATAGCGCTTTGGTTTCTGCAGACGGGTGACTCCTACATTTCTCTGCAATATTTATTTCGAGTGCCTAAATGCACAGTTAGCATATTTATTCCAGAAGTGTTTAAGGCCATTTTCTGCACATGAGGTTGAGCGAAAATTATTAATCTTTTGCTTAAACTCTCAAATTTTAACATTTTAATAGCCACATACGCTTTCTGTCAGCGATTTTTATTTTAATACTTTTGACTGATCGTTTGTAAGTAAAATCTAATTTGTGGTTCAAATAAAAAGGAAAGTCTATAAACAAGATTTCAAAATTTTCGATTATATTTTATTAGATGTAATTGGCCTTGAGTAAAAACTTGTTTTTCGAAACTTATATCAACAAAATAAAATAAATGTTTGCCCTTTTACTTATTTTTTTAATTGAAGACTGTATTTTATTGGGTAGTTGTATAACATATAATTTGTTTGTTGATTAAAGAAAATTCAGAAATAAATATGTGAAAATAAATATGTTTTGAATCCTACACGCTAATTTAATTTTCTTCTATGTTTTTTCTACAATATCAGAAACCTAAATTCATTCTGTTCAGTAGTTATACCCACATTTTATTTAGGTATTAGTAAACAATAGTCGCAGTATTCAGGTAGTGAAGTATCCCATAATAATTCACAAGATGCATATGCATTAAAAAATGCCATAGTTAAGATTATCTCTATTTCGGCATTTTCAATATAACAAAAAAAAAAAAAAAAAAAAAAAATGGACACGACGTCTCTGTGAACACTGCTCGGAGTTACTGCCTGGATAGATTTTCAACTGGTTCAAAGTACAAACGGACTCGCTGACTCAACTTCCCTACGTTTCTATTCAGATGAAGTAAGCGTTTACATTGTCAAAGTAGTCATAGCGAGAAGCTTGCTGCAGGGCACTCGAACAGATGTATACTGGCCTTTAGTACATGAGAGTCTCACCATATATTTAGACTAAGTGCCTCCATGCCATGCAGACCCTATCCATTTATCCATAACATCGACTCATTTTTAACATTCAATCTTGCTCTTTTGATCATCAATTATTGACACATGCAAGCATTACATATAAAAAACTAAAAATAACAAAAATATAATTTCTAACATGACTTACTTTTCAGCATTAGCTATATTAGCAATTCGTGCTTTACGTAACTGTAAAGCTTTCTCACGATTATTTTTCATACGTTGAATCTGAGCAGGAGTCAAGGCTGTTGAGCTTTTAGGTTCTTCACCTAAGAAACACAAATGGTATACGTAATTAATACAAGATATGAATAATATCTCATTCTTTACCACCTAGTTCATATTTCAAACTATTGATTATCTTTACATGCAAATAAACACCAAATTCTCAGAAACTACTAAATAATATTAAAGTAATTTATTTATGTATCACAAATTGTATTAAAAGAAAACTACAAACTGGAAAATCAAACAAGAATGCATATGACAAAAAATTATAGCATGAATCACTCAACAGTGTTAATTCGACACAGGTCAATTGCAGTAAAAGGCTGACTATATAAATACTCATTGAAGAATTACTGCAAACAAATTATAATCTGTGTTGCTTATAGTATCAGTTAAAACTACCGGGTAGATATGTAATTTGACTTATTGCTTTTGAAAAATTTTAAATGTGATCGAGCACATTTAAAGTGTTACAGAAGCTACCACAAAATTCTAATTCATAAATTAATAAACTCAGAATTAAAATAAGAGTTAAAAAATAAAACAATAATACAATGAAGACTCTCATAGTGACCACCCCGTTTGAAGACCATATATAAAAGTGATTAGAATTTCTGAGAACAGCAATCATAGATCAAAATTATCTGGAATAAAAAATGGTCATTTTAAAAAGGAATTTACAGTATTCAGTACATTCGAATTTCACACAGTTAAAATAGTTAAATAATATAGATAAACTAGTTAAAATTTCACATTTAAATTAATAAATTCCAATGAATCATTTAAATGAAGATTGCTAAATTAAAATTGCAGATTCCCCAGGATATTGACTAAAATATAAAAAACATAAAATCACATTCTAGAGTTTAGCAATCATTAACTCTGTCTTGCACAGAAAGCATTGCCTGAAAACCACTACTATCTAAATTCAAATTATTGCTTCAAGTTACAAATATTGTTATTTATATTCAGATAAAAAAAATGTGAAGTGAATCTATTAAGTTTTAAATACTGTTTTCAGCACTTTTCTTATGCTGTCATGAATGTATTTGCTCTTCTATGAAACCAAAAATAATATTAAATGGCTTAATTTAAGAGTAAAGTCTATAGCTAGATTCAGATATAAATCTGTTTGTACCTTACTGTGTTATACATTTTGGTGGCTAACAAATTTGCATTTTTGGTTATGTAAACCATGAAGTCTCCTTTCAAAGCAATACATTCTACTTCTTAGATAAACTTTCAGTTATTTCTAACCAGAAATTGCAAAAAAAAACATTTTATATACTTCTCTGTTATGCACTTAATTCATTATACATCATGCTTTATAAATAAAGTAATTATTTTAGAATCATTTAAAAAATTATGACTAATAATACCTGTACGTATCCAAATGATCAGAAGGTTGCTGTTGCATGTAACTTGATTTATGACACCTAAGATATTTTACTGTACATTTATTTACAAGTCTTATTTACAATCCTTATGCCACCTGGCATGTAAATGATACAGATATTCTGCCACCTGGCATGTAAATTGATACATCATACTAGTTTTTTGCCACCTGGCAGATACGATGCAATTATATCAATTAGCGGTAATACGCCTGACATACTGGCGTGTCCGCTCCCTTTAGGTTTTATAACCTAACTAACTCTTTTGCGAGGTGCACCCTCTGGGTACAAATCACCAAGAAGGCCAAAATAATAACAATAATGCAAGCCTGCAAAATGTGGATTACATAATTTTTTTTAAACTTTCATTAATTTATTAGTATGTATTTTTTCAGCTGTGAATCTACAAATGATGTTTCATCACCTCACGGTTTTCAATCCCACCTTTAAACTTCTTGGATGTCTTACTGAAATCTCTCATCCACCTCTTTCCTAATGGCATCCAGAGTTTGAGAATAATAATCCAAATGTGAATTTAAGAAGTGAACCTTTAAGCTCATGGAACACCCTAAATTTTTGTATTACTGGAACATGTTCCCAAAAACTGATTCAAAGTTTGGATCTTTCTTATTGTTCAAAAACAAGCTTTTTTCCTTGCAACTTCTATTTCTTTCTCAAAATTACAACTTTTGAGAAGTGTTTTTTAAATGTTAAGACCTAAAAAGACAGGCTCTTTTAATTTGGCAGTTGATAAAGCTGGAAATTTGTCATAGGTATGTTTATAACATCGACATACTTTTGATAAGCCTTTGAGAAATTGCTTCAACAACCCTAACTTGATATCCAGAGGTTGAAGAACTTTATGGCCAGTCTTTCTTTACCCAGTGACTTTTCTGCCTCTACTATCACACTCATATAGAAAAACGATGAAAACTTTGTGCATCATCCTTGCTATCCTATACTAGGAACATCGATATTATTTTGAGACTGTTGCACTTAATCCACTTATGATTGTCATATTTAATTTTATCAAGAATAACTTCTAGAACATCATAACACTCTTTTAAATGAACAGAATGCCCAATGAGTCTTGATGCATATACATTTCCAATTTCTATTAAAGAAGGACAACTTTGAGGCTTCTTTTGGACAAATCTACAAAGTCTCCAGTTGGTACTTTTGTCAATTAGATTGATTTAAAAGTCTACACACATCAGTGCAGAAGACAAAAGTTTCCTCCTTCTGAAAAATATGAAAGAAAATCATTTTCTTATTACCTGAACTGAGAAAATGAAATGGCAGCTTCGAGAAGTTCTTCTTTTTAAGCCTCAGAGAAAGCAATTCTGAAT